AGCTAATTAAAAATTATATCTAATCTTAAATATAATGCTCTAATTCATTTTGTTTCTCGCTTTTTTAATCAAAATGTTCTCATTAATTATAAGGAGTTCTCACAACAGGTAGTTCTAATAGTAGGAGCAGAGCCCACTATTAAAAATGAAATGATTTTTTGGAATACTATTATTATTATTATCACAAATCTTTAATATAGGAGTTAGTTAATAATTAAATTATTTTAAAATATAAAATCCTAATTTTTTTAAAACCAAAATAGTAAGGAATTCTTATAAGGAGTAATTCTAATGTACATGATTAAAAATAATATTTTAGGGATACCAATACATATTTGTAATAAATAACTAACTCAATTAATTTTTTTAATATCTTTAAATTAATTATATATACCAGAGTTACTATTATTGAAGCCTTAAAACCGGCCATTCAATCTTGACAACTCGCTGTGCATCAAATTATCCTCAAACCCAACTGTCTAATCGGTCTTGCAGGTGACACATCTTTATTAAACAGGGTTTTCAAATAATATTATGTGATGGATTAATCTCATCAGCTTTCACAATCCAATTTCCGTCGGTATTCTCTGGGGTTTGGACTCCGGAGTCTTCACATTTTTATTTCTGGTGGGCTAGTAGGCAAAACCCTGCAATTTGATGCTACTTATGTTCAAAACCTGCCCGTCAAAAACATTTTTGTCACGCCTCACCAAACCATGAAAAAATGTATCATTTATCGCTGTATAATATTTATGTCAAGTTTTTTATATTTATTATATTAAATTCTTCAATCACACATAATCACCTATCATATTTTTACAATATTAGCATTTAAAAACATTTAATTCTAAATTCATGTAAGACCAAAAAAAAAGAGACACGTGATCATATCTCATGTGTGATTGGATGACTTGACATATTGAATACTAGAAATGACATAAGTTTTTTCCTTCCTAAAATAATTACGTGTCAATAAATTATATTTATGGCATTATTATTTCAATATTTATTGGCTTGATTGTTTTTTCCCATGTCTTCAACATGTGGCGGAGAGTTGAGCCTTGTTTATAAAATTAAATTCAACAGCATAAATTACCGGTCTTTTTATAATTTTTTTTCCAAAAATTATAACTTCTATATGTTATTCACACACACAAAAGTAACTATAATTAAATTTTGAGCCTGTATTTTACATAGCTTACTAAAATATAAGATGTTTTACTGTTCATAATGCATGACGCAGTTGGTTTTTTACAATTTTATTTTATAAATTGACGTAATAATTTCACCCGGGGAAATTAGTCACCATAACTATACTAGATCTTAACTGAAATTAATCACCAAAACAATCTTAAGTTCTTAACTAACATCAAATAAAACTCGTAGTTTTCAGTTTGACTCGATGACGTAAATTATGAATAGTTCGGCATATTAATTAGTTATAACGTGTTTGAATTAACTTGGGAAGTTGTATAGCGATCATGGAGGCAGGCCAGGCATTCCGGATCCTATCTTATAAAAACAAGGCCGAAAGAAGAATCTACTACTAGCATCCGCAAACCAGTTCTTTCCGTTTATGGAATCATCTTGTCCAATAATTAAGTGAAACTCAAATAATGCGATAAAATCTTAGGAAATTTTGGCTCTTTTTCACTCTCATAATATATTTTCTTGTATATCAGAAAGTACTTTACGACTTTATGCTATACTTGCTTTGGTACTTTGTAAATTATAATTATTAGGAAACTTATTTTGTTTTCCTATCAAGAAAAAATGCGATAAATGATACGTAAAAAAGCAACTTTAACCTTTAATTTTTACTTTACGTGATGGTTTATTTTGGTTTCTTAAATTAATAAAGTATTTTTTTTATCCTCTAACTCTAAGCAGTTAATAAAAAATGTTGACAAAATATTTCTAACGGGTGATGTATTAATTTTGATGTTAAAAAATAATAATGATTGGCATATTATTTGAGGGTGATAGTGTTCGAATTGAATGATTGAAAATATATTTTGTAAAAGAAAGAGATAAAGCTAAAACCCCAAAGCCATACGATAAACTAAAACTAAGCAAAATTAGTTTTTACTTGCATTAATATTGAGTTGATCAAATGTTTTGAATTATTGCATGCGCCTAAGGGTGTGTTTGGATGAAACCAAACCGTGGTTTGGAGGATAGCTTCTGGAGAATAGATTCTGAAAAAAATAGATTTTGGAAAGAATAGATTTTGTGAAAAAGTAATTTTGAGAAGTGTGAGTGTTTGGATAATTGTTATTAGAAGTACTTTTTATATATACAAATTGGCATAAATTAATATGATAATTATAGAAAAAATATATTTTATGATATATTTTAATTTGAAAGAATAAAATTGTTAATAATATATTTTTTATTAACATATAATAATATATAAGATAATATAATTAATAAATAATTAATATGTATATATATTTATAAGATATAAGATTAAATATGTTTATAAAAAATATGTTTATAAAAAAAACAACAAGATACATATCCTATAGGCTCTCACACTCTCCCTTTTTTCTCCAAAAGTAAAAAATTTCTGCTTTTCCCAAAACCATGGTTTTGATTTTTTTAAGGGTGTTTGGCTAACATTTTTCCCAAACCATGGTTTGGGTCCCAAAACCATGGTTTGGGGTGCTTGCCAAACACACCCTAAGAATCAAGTCACCAGGCCCACGTTATTCCATCCTTTATATGGTCGCCACGTGTCTTGGATGTTCGCCAAACTTCAAGATCATCGTAAAGACGTTTTTTAAGAAACAAGAACGTAACTCCCAACTTATGACGGTATTTTCAAACTTCAAGTATAAGGATTGGCACACACTGTATAATTTGAAGCTGTATATAGGCACACAGAAATTCAATACGAATAACTTTTGTTGGGCAAGCTCGAAGCTTATTCATTTTTATAATTAGTATTCCTCCGGTCCTAAATGTAAAACCCTTATATTAGTGTGTATAAAGGTCTTATATTTAGGACCGGAGGAGTATTTGTTGTTGTTGTGACTAGTGGTGGGGATGGGAGTATAACAAAATAGAAATAAGAAAGTTTAACACACTCGAAAATATATTATATATTACTTCACAGAAACAATATACGAGGACTTTTTATCAGAAAAGAATCGACTAATTTGTAAACCTTTTTTTTTTTGGCCTTTGTACAGGTATTGGAAGTAATTATATTTAAGACAAGGCACCTTTTTTGTGGGATTCTCACATTGATTCCCACTATATATATTCTGAATACATTGAATTGTTAGACTATTACTTTTAGGAATTGTGAATGGGTTGATTATGTAATCATCAATTAATAAATCTATAAAAATAAAAGTGACAAGACATTTTCTTTTTCTTTTTCTTTTTTCTTTTACAAACCATGCTGACTTCTAATTTAAAAGCTTATTAATATGAGATTTCCTTGCTTAAGAGTTTTAAAGATACGTGGCATATTATCGTTTTGGAGGTCGAGAAAAGTTTTTTTCACGAATTTTCTCTCAAATAATCCATCGTAAGAACAGATTTTGTTACGGGGGAAAATGATTATCTTGCAAAAGTTCTTTCAGATAAATTACAGTTTTTTGCTCTTCACAATTATTTGCAATTTATTCACCGTCTCATGCTTTTTTTTCCTTTCACAAAAATAGAATAAATATTGTGCAAAAGCGGTCGGCCTGGCCCCTAGCTCATTCCTGTTATGACACGCTAGTTTCCTCGCAGATTTCTTTTTTCACCCGAATTCACTCAAATTTTCTCTGAAATAAAAAGCAGCGAGAATTTCAACCAGAACCTAACATCTATATATATTAGAAAGTTTTCAAGAATGTTGACAAAAATTTCTATTTAAATTAATTTCATGTGAAATTTTTGTGATGAATTCTCCCTTCTTTTTTATTTCTTTTAGGAATTGAACCTCCCTCGCCTACTATTTTGCGCATATATATAACATGTATGGTATAAAAATTGTAATTTTTATTTTAAATATTATATTTGTGAGGGATGAATAAAAATGCAGTGTACGTGGCTTAAGAAACTAAAGTTTTTTTTTCCCCGGGACAAATACACTTTTAATCTTCTTACTTCATACAAGACTTTAGCTTGATTCTCTTAGTGTTAAAAAGTTTTTTTAAATTATTATTATTTTGAAAATTAAACTTAATAAATTAGTATTTGAGAATATTTTATCAAAATTTAAATTTTAGATATTAGCATTTTTCGTAAATGGTGTCATGACAAAATGGTTAAAAATATACTTATTAAAATTAATTAATCAAAATGAGACATTGTGTGAAATTATTAGAAGTTTAGTTTTGCCAAGTTTTTCTATAAATATTTCACTTATGATAATAAAAATAGTCCCCTTTTATAGAAATTGTTCATGTATAACTCGAAGTCTCAAACCCTTAATACCCAAAAGAGTTGTGGAGTATAATTTCCGCTTCTTCCAGAAAGTAGAAGAAGAAAAAAACAAGAAATACATAGGAGTAGTTCAACAGTTTATGCGTCAAAAAGCAGAAGAATAATTCAAAGATTCCCCAAGGAAACAACTTTCGATTAACCCCACGGAAATTCAAAAAGCTCCCGAATCTCTTTATTGAAAACCATTAGCTAAATCGTTAGCTTTCAATTATTTTAGGCTTCATTTTGCTGACTCAAACAATAAAGCTTCTTTCTCTTGGCTTTGCCGCCCTTCCTTTCAATCATAGACTAATATCTCACTGGCCAAACTAATAACCAATTATATCCTCTCCCGCACGCATACCCTAAGAATTGTTTGGCCACTTTCAAGCGCGTGAAGCTATATGTATGCATAGACCCACCAATGCTTGCTTGTCTCTTACAAGCAACCTCAAACTTTATATATATTCATGCATGCCTGGTTATATTAGTATAAATATTCTCGCTTCACCTACGTCAAACATTGCCAAACCCTTCAACCTAGAGCAGTTACAAGGATCTCTTTTATGACAATCTGAGTTTTCTTTTTCTTCTTCATAATAGGTAGGCACCAATATTACTTTGTGTGTGTATATAAAGCACAAGATTGTTGGGTTTGAAGAAGATCAGCGAAGAAGTTAGGATTGCTGCAGGGTGAGGTTGTGGTTATTGATTAGTGTGTGGCTATATATGGCTGGGAAGACGAGCACGATGATGCCTATAATAAGCAAACTGTACTGTTCGGCTTCTCAGAAGGTGTTTGTGGTGAGAAGAAGGCCTCATGTTGTGAATGGAGGGGGTTTTGTGGTCACAGATTGCTCGTCTCAGAAGGTTGTGTTCAGAGTTGATGGCTGTGGAATTCTCGGAGCTAAGGGTGAGTTGATTCTCAGAGATGGAGATGGCGATGCTTTGCTTCTCATGCGTCGAAAGGTACGTAAGTTGGTGTGTGTTTCTCTTGATTATAATCTTAATTACTACAAGTAATCTCCATTAATTCGTAGAAGCATAATTGGCTAAGATTATTATGTAAGCGACCATTAAACATATATTTATTGCCGCAATTCAATCATCGATTATTTGTTTAACTGTTTGATTAATCACAAGTATACTGTTTATCACAATTATCTGATATTCTATATTATTCATTCAAATTTGAGCATTATGCATAAAAATCTCTTGCATAGATTTTTTTAATCTACAATATTTAATTAAAGGGGCATCTATTGCTTTCAATCAATAATCTTATATAATCAAAGGGCCAATCTTTTAACCTTTTTGTATGGGGAAAGTACAGGGAGGGATGGTGGAGGCACTGAGCATCTATAGGAAGTGGAGAGGGTACTCTTTAGACTACGAAGGATCAAAGAACCTGGTTTTCAGCTTAAAGGAACCCAATTCCTGTTTGGTGAGGAATAATCTGATTAGAATCTCCACTGAGCCAAGCAAGAGCACAAACAAAGCCTGGGACTTCGAGATCAGAGGGTATTTCCCCGACAAGATTTGTAGCATTATTGATTCCAAAGGCAACGTAGCTGCCCAGGTAAAATGTAGCCTTCATATATGCTCATATATTCTTAAGTAATTAATAACTTCCATGATTTATCAATGTGCATACATATATATATTTGTTTGTGCAGGTAGGGGTGAAGAAGGAAGTGGAGGAGTTAATGATGGGAAGCAAGGATCTTTACAATGTGATGGTGAAACCTGGGATTGATCAAGCTTTTGTTTTTGGAGTGATCGGAGTTCTGGATTACATTTATGGCGAATCCACATACTGCTGAATCATCGCCAGCCATATGCATTTTAAAAGGATGGGCTTGGAAGTTTCCAAGAAAGTGGTTTAAGTGTTTTCTCCCAAGAGGAGGAGGATTTAACTTAACTTGACAAGCCTTGCTAAATATGATTTAAGAGTTTTAGAGGAAGACGACGGTCCCAGTATTAGTCTAAATGGGGAATTGCCTTGTACATGACGACAACGTCTAACTAGATGTGGCTTCAAATTAAATTAATTAACCTACCTTATGCTTATCCTAATCCATATATTTAATTTGCATGTGCTTGGTTTTATCTCCTTTTTAATCCCTCTTGTAATAACCAGTCATTCCAAATTTCGAATCTTTTCCATTCCAGGCTTTGCTTGATTTTTAATTTTAATACTCCTCCAGTCTTAAATATAAGACCCTCATACACACTAATATAAGGGTTTTATATTTAGGACCGGAAGAGTAAGATTATATTCTTTCAGTTGACCTCTTGTATTTCAGCTTCTTTAATTTATCTTAAAGTTTTAACGTTTTCATTATTCACGGGTTTAGCTTATTTTCAAACTCTAAAGTCCAGGCCTCTTAAAATAAATAGAAAAATGTGAAAAGAACCATTTTTTTTAAAAAAAAAACTTGGATAACAGCTAGTCAATCTAGCTTTCTTGATTTCATTATTTACAGATAGATCAAGTAAAATGAGGAAAATACCAAATAAGGGCTCTAATTGAGATGCTTATCGCGTGAGTGGATTAGTAGTATTGCTGAATCACTTGACAAGACTAGTAAAATGATTATTTCATAGAACTTATTATTGTAAATTATAATATAATAAAATGAGCAAGTTGAAGAGATACCCAAAAAAAAAAGATACCAAGAAAAAAAAAGAACTAAGAATTAGAGCTTTAATTGAATCTTGTATCTCTTGTCAAACAGTCTTAAAGAGCTTTATTTTTGCAAGCTAAGAACATTAATTTGTCAACGTTTTTAAGAAAGGAAGTTAACATGCTTTGGTTTCACGAATTAGAAGTTAGAAAATAATAAAAAATGTTTTCCAATTCAGTTTCCTATGCAACATGTTAATCCTGTTGGCTAACGTGTCACTTGATTTTTTTTTACCCCCGTAGCTGAAGTGTTAATTGACTGGTTGAAACTTGAAAGTAAGCTTCTGCACTTTATGCGCTAACTATAGCACTTTATGCGCTAACCATTTTTTTTTATAACTTCTTCTCTCTTTTTTAATTTTTATTATTTGACGTATTAAATCTTTTTGTCGTGAAACCCATGTTAGCAACCTCACAAGTATTATGGAATTTATAAGTTCAAAAGCTCTCCCTTCTAATAGATTAATTTTTTGGAATTGGGCTATCCTCTTAAATTTCATTACATTAGTGTTTTCATTAAGAGTTAGTCAACTAAAAAGAACTACCCATAGAAGGGAAACCTCACAAATGTTATAGGATTTATAAGTTTAAAAGATTCTCCTTTTTATTAGACTAGTTTTTCAGAGATTGGGTTCTTCCCTTAAACTAATACTTATCACACTTTTATGCAAGGCACTAGCTATTATGTTGAAGCAAATTTTACCTTATAAAACAAATGACAGACCAACCTCTTTATCTAATGCGTGAATTGAATTTTTATTATTGTTTAATGTTTGCCTTTGAAGAACTCTTCATGATATTCTTAATGAACCCGTTAGCATAGCTAACTCTTGCGGCCCAAAAAACAAGTTTTGACCAACTCTTAGTGTAAAATTCACACTGCATGCATTCTTTTAGTTATAAGTTCAATTTGATTTTAAATATAAAATTTTAATTAATTTTGTTTTTTATATTTGTCCATTTTGCCTCCCAAGCAAGAAACAAAAAATCAGACTAAACCGGTTAAGATAGTAGTCTAATGGTTAGTTGGTCGGATATGGATCAATTCAGGATCAAGCCAGTCATATTAAAATAATATAATTTAATTAAAAATAACAAAATATAACAATATTAATAATCACTAATAACAAAATACAAGAAAATATAATAATAGTGTGATTGTAACAATAACAAAGTACAATAACATTGAGAATTTTTATCTTTAAGATTCATCAATAACTAAAATTAATAATCATTGATATCAAAATTTTCATTAAAATTCTCTCAAATCTGTAGTGATTGAGATATTAAGAGCTGAATGAGAAAAAAATATGATTGATAGCAACATAATAATCCAAATCGATTCACACTGGTTTTTGCCAGTTTTCACCAATTCACATTGGTTTGACTAGTTTGATATTGGCTCAACTTCTACCTGGTTCAACAACAAACCAAACCAAATTACTAATCGGTTTATCGGTTTTCTGGTTGAACTGATTGGTTCGGTCTTTTTTTTCCCCTACTGCCAAGTAATCTGTATGATAATTGTACATGTTATCAATAGATAGTTTGAGTTTGAATAATGCACATAGTTAATGAAAATATTTTAGAAAAAACTATTTATTTATTACAAATAACTTATATTATTTTCTTAATGTTTATAAATTAATTATATAACTTTTATATTAAGAAACGGATGTAGTATTTTACAATCTTTTATTTAACTTACTAATTCTTTGCTCAAAATGCATTAACAAACTTTATTTGGATACTCTTCTTTTAAGTGTTTATAAGTATTTTTGTGTAAGGTGAGATAAAATTTTACCTATATATTTATTTTATATTCTGTAAATCGTGATGAAAAATCTATTTTTAAAAGCTCAAATTATCATTTCAAGCAAATCCCAACACATCAACGTGCATGGGAGCAGTGTTTGTGAAACTTTTGTTTTGAAGCGGCAATGACTCCGGAAAGGCGTACAATACTTCTGAATAATAGTGTATTATTGTAATCAAAGTTCAGCGCGGTTTCCGATATTAAATGGTTTATTTAAAAGGTGTACAATACTTCTGAATAGGATGAAAATTAACTTTGATTGAGATTGAAATTCATAATTTCAACTGTGAAGATTATATTCTCTGAACTAAAATTGAATAGTACTACAACCCGGCACGCCCTTTTCTTTCTAGTTAGTATGCTTCCTTTTCTTTTTTTTCCCCCTCGTAATTATCGGGTGGTGAATCATAAGTACATTTTATTATTAAACTAGATGATAAACCATGTGCATTAACCATTAGGGAAGCGACATGTTTGGCGAGTCAACAGATCAGTGTTCCTACATGAAAGTCTTTACCTAAGTTATCCATGTGCGCGTCTGCGTATTTGATATTTCACATCAAATACATGACCACAAAATCACAACCGTTGATCTTTTAACTTTCTGGTTCGCGGTACAATTGTGCGGTTCAAAAGCCCAAACAGAACAAGCAAAGAACCAAACTCCAGCAGGCGAAATCGAGACAACCCCCAGCCACAGCCCAGGACAGTCACCCGCCCACCTCAATGTCATTTTAACCCTAAACTATTCTGCTTTTGTAAACAAACTCATTATTTATATACTGCTTCTTATTTTTAATATAAAAATTAATTAACTAATTTAAATAGATTAAGAAAACTAGTTAAATTAGTTATTTATAGTAAATATATGTTGTCTTTTAAAATATTCTTACCAATCAATTATATTGGCTAGAACTATAAAAACTACTTTAAAAAAAAAAAAATAAATATGATAGATAAAATAGATTGGAATTTTATATTTAAGACTAAAATAATAATTAAAGGAGCTCTTGTATTAAAAACCTGAGGTAATATTATAAATTTACAATTTTTGGGCTGGCAAATATTCCTTCGGTCCTAAATATAACACTCATTTTATAGTGTAAATTACACTATAAAAGGAGCATTATATTTAGACCGTATTACAATTTATTTCTCCAATTTCATCCCACTCTTAATTTTGAACCCAAAAAAAGGAAAAATAATAGAGTCGCTGTATATTGGGCCAAAGATAAACAACTATTAGTACTATATATCCGTTTAAAAGGTAAAAGGTGTCATCAACAGCATGTTAGTTGGAATGGTAATAAGATAAAAACATAAAAAGAAGAAATACTAATAAGGATAAAAGATGAAAAAGAATATAATATGGAAAAATTATAAGAAAGAATAGAAAATTAATTAAGAATAAAATTAATGAAAACCCGTTTAATATTCAGACACTATAAAGAAATGAAACTAGTTTAAATTTTGAAATCTTGTAAAAATTAGTCGAGGGAGTATTAGGTAAAAACATTCTTTTAAGAAAGAAAGATACCTGGATGGGAAAAAATGGAAAAAGAACGGAGGATATATAATAATAACATTGATGATAGAGCCACGATCATCTTCGTCACTGCCACGTGAGATACGTATGATTGACAATTAATCCCATCCACGGTCGTCTTTATCTATGCACCTGTATCACTGCCTGAAGCAACCATTTAGCAATAAGCTCTGATCTTCACGTTTCCCGGGCTTCCGATTCTGCTAATCTAGTACCAGTACATACTGATGCTTTGCTCTTAGTTCACTTTATGATGCTTAGCTTTTCGGTTTCTTGTGATTTCTTAATCGATTTTGTTTCTTGGCCCGGGTGGATATTCGCAGGAAAATGGGTTCTGATAAGAATGATTACGGCTTTTTGAAGGAGATCGGTCTGGATTCCGCCAATATTGGCGCTTTTGTAGACGGCAAATGGAAGGCCAGCGGTTCATCTGTCACTTCTGTGAATCCTTCGAACAATAAGGTGCACCTCTTGACGACAACGACCGCGACTATGACCTTTTTTTTTTTTTTTGGGTTTTAATTGTAGTTAAAGATCTTCAAACGAAAGCTGGCCCTTTTACTGTTTCATGCAATGTTTTTCTTAATTATTTTTGGAGTAATGGTTTTCTTTGTCATTTAGATGACATGTTCGTTTTTATGCTGGCAAGATTTTCTTCATTTTTTTGGGATGTAGAATTGGGTTTTGATGTGTCGAGTTCCGGAATTCTCGTCACTGCTTAAAAAGCTGCTCTGCTTTCTAATATAATGTTGACGAGCAAGGCAAAACATTTTCAGCAAAAAATTGTTATTCGGATGTGGGGGCGGACAGGAGATTCTGATTTTTACTCAAGATAAGAAAGAAAGTAAAAATATGAGATGAATTCCATAAATTACAGCATAATCCTCACAAGAATCTTGTCATGCTTTTCACGTTATTAGTGTAACTATTTGTCAATTGAAATTAGGCCATCGCGCAAGTAAAGGAAGCAACTGTGCAAGATTATGAGGAGGGATTGCGTGCTTGTAGTGAAGCAGCTAAGCTATGGATGACTGTAAGTTTTCAAGTAGCCTTACTTTCATAATTTGTTTCGGCAATTCAATACAGTTGAAGTTTCTTCATTTACCTGTTCT